TTTGGAGAGGAGCTGCTCACTTGCAAGTAAAATTTGTTGTTGTTGTTTCTGTTGATTACCTTTTATAATTTCAATACTTGTAAATCCACTCGAAGGATAAACGTGTTTTGGACATTAAGTACCTCCCTTTATAACGCTTTACTGCCCATCTAACCACAAAGTTTGATTCAACTCCATATAATTATGATTTCTTTTAAAGTCAAAATTCAGTGATAATTATACAAGCTTTGTTTTTCGAGATTGTTATGTAAAATAAATGAAGCGAAACTCTAACATGGCCATGCATGCCTACTGGCAACGTTTAAAAAATAATGTTCAAATGAATCATTAAAATATAAAAATTATATCATATTTCCCTATCTATCAATAAAAAGTGTGTACGTTCGTTTGTCGTGTAACATTTTAAGAAAACAACTTATTTGAAAAAGATCCTTGTCTTGTTTACAAAATATATCATGATCACTTGTATGTTTTTACCTATAAACCAGAAAACTATAACGTGAACAATTGCTTGTTCAGTTGTCTATATCGTTTAAGAAAACAGTTTTCATTTTTTTGAAGAGAAAATCTCGCCCAGTTTGCCCAGGACAGAAACAGGAAATTCCTTATCGATCCTGACAAAAATTCGTCGATGTCGTCATAAAACTCAAAGGTTTTACAGTCCCTTCCGGTGTTGTTGTTGTGGTCTTTCGTGGCTCTGTATTTATCCAATAACGAGCGCCATTTCTCTTTAATTTGCACTTATGTTTTCTCAGATTCTATGGCGGTGTCGCTGCATGAACTGAGAAAGTCTTCCATAATGGAATCCCAGACGCTTATCTTTCCGTGGCTACTCTTTGTCGACGTCACCCAGTCATAATTTGCACGGTAGGCCCCAATCAGACTGCGCACTTCAATGGTTTCCCAGCTAGTACATCTGGTTTTTTCCCCCTTCTCTGATGATTCGGGTTGAGGAATTTGGCTGGTCGATGGCTCTGGACATCCAGGCAACTGACTAAAAGAACGTGGAGCCGCTTGTGGCGTGAACTGTAGAGGGATTGTTTGATTTCCAGACAAACTTGAATAAAATGGATATGGAGCGTATGGTGTTGACGAATCTTGCTCCCGATTTCTTTGGAATAAAAAACCATTGTACAACGGCGCATCTCGTTCGGAACCTTCTGGTCTAAAGTTGCTGTGGAAAAATGAAAATAAAAAAAATACAAAACTATGCCGCACTAAAAGAAATCAAATTAATGGGTAGTTAGAGCAGAGACTAGTAAAATATACTCACCGCCGACCGGTTAGCTCAGTTGGTAGAGCGTGAGACTACCGTGCGGGAGGTCTCGGGTTCGAGCCCCAGACCGGACCAACACTCAGGGTCTTAAAATAACTGAGGAGAACATGTTGCCTTTGCAATGACATCTGCAAATGGTTAGATATTCTAGTCTTCTCGGATAAGGACGATAAACTGTAGGCCCATCTCCTGCATCTTCACTGTTATGGTCAGCAGGGGACGTTAAAGAACCCACACACTCATCGTAAAAGCAGGGCACGAAGTTCACAGTGTTGTGGTCTGGTCTTTGCCCATTGTGCTGTTGAAATGCTCAGAGACATTAGCTGTTAAAGCTACTCTACAATCCGAGGGTAAATGCTACTACTACTACTGTGAGCTTCGAATGTTTGATGCCACGTGTATTGAATTTGGTACGTGCCAGGATATTTGCCGCAATTTCAGCGCAACACCACAAAAATGTGCCCAGAATGTGCTGCGGTTTCCGGATTAACTTTTCTCTTTCACCCGATTAGTTGAACTACTCTTGTGGCTAGATAAACCAAGGCTAAATCTTACGACTTGGTTCGGGAAACGTCATGGGTAATTCTTTTGTTCTTTTTGATGTATTCATAGTGATTTCCCAAGGGCAGTTTCACTGAGGGAATAAGGGTTACGCACTAA